AAGATCACTTATTTCTAGACAACCTAAAATAGTAAAAAGCTATAAAAGATTTCATCTATGACTTTAAACTATGGAAGCTGCTATAGAATTTTTCTTGTTGCATATACCATTTTTCTATGTGCAATGCCTCAGGGAAGAGAGTATGCGTAGGGTCTTTAAAAAGGATTTTTTGGATTTCAGCCCATTTTGACACCATTCTCTGAAAATGCACCAAGGAGCTATTATCTAGCTATCCAGGGAGTATGACATTGCCTGCCCCAGTTTTTGCTTTTCACTTTCCTCATTTAAGATAGAATATTTTCTGTTCTTTCCAACATGCTGCCCAACATTTCTAAAACCACGCACAACTCGATTCTGAGTTTCTTTTGACAACTTTCCAGAGAACCGGGAGCTCTCCAGAGATTCAGATTAAAATCAGGAAACTTTGTAAAAGCAAATTGTCAGGGAGACTCTGTGTGTATGTATGTGTGTGTGTGTGTGTGTGTGTGTGTGTGTGTGTGTGTGGTATGTACCCCTCCCCCCGCCCATCAAAGGCTTCAAAAACATTTCTTTTATTCAGGTCTGTATTTTCTCTTTCCCCTCTCTTGCATTCACCCTCATAAGAGATTCTAGCTATTCACTTGGAAGTATTTTGGCTCTCAATAGGGAGAGAATGGTGGCTGGTTCCTGGATGAGATTTGTCAGTCAGCTGCCTGATTTCTGTCAAGTGAAGAGTTCCAGTCCTTGGGCTGGCAGCCACGCTTAAAACAGAATCCAAGATGCTCAGCACAAGGGTTTGAGCAGGGCACATGCTGCTGCACTTTAGCTGCCCGGCTCCTTCAAGTTCACACAAACCACAGACCAGGCATGTTGGTGCATGTATCTCAGCCACTGAGCTAATTAAGCTGTCCAGGTAGACTGAACTATTCCATGCTAGGCTTCAAGGCCGAGGGGATCAGAAGACGGTAATGCCAAAGGTGACTCACAGAACCAAAATGAAGATGAGACGGATACTGACTGTAGTAAGTGGCAAAACCTTGGGAACACAGGACTCTGTGAACAAAGACCCCTTGGCCTTCGAGCAAATCTTTGCTTTGGCCGTTTCTATTCTGCCTTTTGTAGCACAATCGTTTCTTAGGTTTAAACAAGTAAGCTGTCTTATAGTCAGTCTAAGCTACTTTCAATGATGTAGTATAAGAAGATGATTGGAAACAGTCTACGCCATGCACATTTATGTTTCCACCCACTGTGGATGATGAAATTGCTCCACCTATGATCTCTAGTGACCTGAGTTGGACAAGTTGATTTCTTATTTTAATCTCTAGCTGGGAGTTTTATTTATTTATTTAGCATATTTAACTTATTTGACTTAATGACCACTCTCATTATCCCACGAATACTCTTTCATCCGTGGCTTGAAATATGCGTTCACTTGGTTTGGCTCTTTAGTCTGATGTGAATTATTTGGGCATTTTTACCTTCTTCCTCTGCCACTGTTTTGCATGGAGCTTCATAACTAGGTAACATTTTTTTCCTCACTCTCTTTTCTTCACCGTCAAAACCATGTCAAGGCATTTTTACTGCAGTTGCACAACACCGTATAACCAGAGGTTCTCAAACTTATTTGTCCATCCACCAATCCTTTCTCAGAAAAAAAAGTCAGTGTCCCCTCTGGAAATCTACCTTCTTTAAATATACAAACAGAAAGCACTCCAAATTGCATCAGAGACTATTACTTCCCCTTAGATCATTTCATTACCTCAAGAAAATTAGCACACCCTCAGAAGCACTCCTCAGACAGAGTTAAGTTTAAGGTTAGCAAAAATAAGAGTTTCTAATCACAGTCTGTACATGACTTTAAGGAGAATACTTTGTAAATTTACAAAGAACTTCTCTCTTTCCAATGTCAAGTTGTATACACCATAACCTGTGTGTCTCCCCTGATGTTAGATGGTTTGTAGTTAGATGATTTGTAAGTCCCAGGAGCACAGTGCTTTCTTTATTTCTAGATTCTTTAATGTAAACATTAGTCCTCAACCCTCCCAACTGACTTTAACTATTCTGCTTTCCTGTTTCTACAGATTGTTTTCCTCAAGGTAAGTTCACGTACACTCTAGTCATGCAGTCTTTGACTGAGATGGGAAATCTCTCTGAGACCTACCTGTAACCTCTCTACTGCTGCCCAATGTGACTTGTATAGTGTCAGTTAGAATCTACATTCTGGAATATTATAGGCCCATCACTAGCCACTTTCTATCTAACCCATTCAGTGTGTCGTGCATGAGTAAAATCTTCCATAGTCTTATCTAGAATATGCCAGAACATTCATTTGATTGGAACTTATTAAACATTATCTCTATATTTATTTATCTTAACATTAAACACCAGCTCCCTATATCAGAGAACATATCTCTAATTAGTAACATCTCAGCTCTAGTCTCTGCTTCAAGTAATCACAGGATAATAGGGGAAAAAAACATTTGTTTATAAGTGTGTAGAGGTACAGTACAGGAAAAAAAGGCTCAACTTGTGACTGATAGAGCTTAAACAAGTCAGTTGGTGCATCCAGGAGCCAGAGCTTTGTCTAAAATATAAAAAAATCGCCCCAGCTAGAGTGGATGGCTTATGTCTATAATTCCTTTTGTTGGTAAGACAGGGAGTGGTGTGGCACCACCATTAGCAGACATCAGGGCTTACTCCTGACCCTGTGCTCAGGGATTACTTCATTGTGCTCAAGGCACAATATGCAGTGCTGGTGCCCATGCTTGAACCGGGGTTGGGCCCATGAAATGCATGGACCTCACAACTTACACTGTCTCTCATACTGTAGCTCTATTATTTTACAAATATGTCCGTTGGAATATAGACAAAGGACTCCACTGTGAGATAACCCTCTCTGGAGCAACAATGGAGTCTAAAACTTAAAGATGTATCTGCTGTTTAATTATACTGGAACCAGTTTTCAATATTCTTTGCCTAGGAATCACAGACCATGTAGTAATGTGAGCATATGAAGGATTCAGCAATAATTGCCATGCCATTCTTTTCTTCAAAATCTGAAGATAGTTGCTTTATGGATATATGTAGCTTTATACTCTAGAGGAAATTCAATATGATCATGCCCAGGTCAAGCTTATTGCCTAAACGCACAAAAACAGATAAACTCAACCCAGCTATTCTTGTATTAAACTTTTTTATTCACCTCATATTCTTTTACTCAGTGACTTTACTATTCTGCTGATGCCTAGGCCAGAAATCTGGGAATTATTCAAGTCTAAATTCTTCCCCCAACTCATGGTTGCTGAATTCTGCCAACTCTCGTTCCTAAAGTCTTTTCTCAATTCAAATCAAACTGAATGCCCACTGATTATGCTATTATATTTTTATTAATCTAATCTTTGTGATGACATTAAATGTGATTCCCTTGAAATTAATTTTATATCTATATGAAGCTCAAATGGAAGTATTTATGGATAATATATAGGAAGCAATTCATAAATATAAATATGTAAAAAATGTAAATGTGTAAAAAGGAAAAGCAAGATGTAAGTGTGGGAGGATATAAAGAAAAAAAATTTTCTTGATTCAAGAATTAGCCCTGGAAAATTCGTTCATGAGGACTCTTTACATTCAATGTCCATAACATTTTTAAATTGGTTTCAGAGTTATGTTCAGAATTTTGAAAGTACATCATTAAGCATTTTAGCCTCCATTTCATGACCTATCTTTCACTAATCCTCTACATTTCCAAAACATTGACCAAAATATAACTATCCGTGTTCTCTATCTTTGTGTGTGACTTACCGTCACATTCTTCCAATTGAGATGTCTACCTTAAATTCCACTGCCTTTGTGAATTGGTTCCTGAGCTTGAATGCTAATATTTTATATGAAACAATCCTTCTATGCATTTAGACCATTCGTCATATTTATTCTTGTCATCCAGCTGGGACTCTGATATTTTATTTTCACTTTAAATTCCAAACCATAATTGCAACAAGATAACTGTAAAAGTTCTTGAGAACAAATATACACACACCTATTTAGGTTTCCTCTGCTTTGCTCCATGTATATGGAAGAGCTCATTAAGTGTTGCTGAATTGACTTCCCAGTGACCATTTAAGTGAGAAAATACCCAAATGTATACTAGAAAAAATATCCATTTATGCAATAGAGAGATTAATACAGATAATGCTTCTCTACTCATAATCTAGTAGAGCACTAGATAAATAACCCAATGTTACGTATAGGTAGACTGGAGGTGGGAAAGTAATTTGTGGAGCTTTTTTATAAATTTATTTATGTGTGTATAAATATACACATAAGCTTTCTTGGCTATACCAAGAGAGACCTTCTAGAGAGTTAAATTTTTACACATTTTTAGGCCAGTAACATTGTCCAGCAATATGAATACTGGAGATAATTAAAGGTCAAGGATGTGGTTAATTGAAATAGGAATAACTATCAATGGTAAAGGATTAGAGTATAGTCTTTAAAATTTGTTTGCATCCTTTTAAGTTTGAGACAGACAAATGTCTAGAAGTTGTAGTATTGAGTTTGGAGTTATGAACTGAAGTCCAAGTTAGAGGTGGGTGTTTGGGAACATATGATACAGTATATTTTAATCTATAAGAGCACATGGAAGGGGTCATGGATAGAGAATGAAATAAGTATATTTAAGTGAGGGTAATCCAATATTAAAAGACCAATAAGAGGAGAAGAATGATCCAGGATAGGAGACTGGGAAGCAATAGAGAAAAGGGTGTATGCAAAACCAGAAGGATTATAGTTAATAGGTGTCAATTGGAGACATTTTTGTAAAGCAGAGAGGGGAATTATCTGTATCAAGATGAGGAATGAAATGTTTACTACATCCAGGCTTGTTGAAATTTAGAGCTGCTGAGTTTAAAAGTCAATATTCAAGACTCACAATGGTATCTGTTACTTCTGGGATTTTCCTTTTTCTTTTATTCTAAACCTCTGATTGATTTCTTATTTGTTTTAAAATGTTAATATTGCAGAATATAAAGGATGCCCTGAAACAAATCTCAGGTCAGATTGATGTTATTAACAACAAGAAGACAGCATCATTGCAAAATGCCACGCCTACACAAAAGGTGAAGCTTCAAGATGCGCTCTCACAGCTCTATTCCCAGTTGAACAGAGTTAACAAGACGTACAAGGAACGACAAGGGTAGGTCATGCTTTCCTTTGCCTCAATGTATAAACCTGTTTGCAGGGAAACTCAGAGTTCATAAAAGGGTTCTCCATGGAGAACAGAGAGGCATGGAGGAAGAGATGAGAAAGGTTCCCTAACTTTGGAAAAAGGTAAGTAAAAGAAGAACCAATAATGCTAAACATTGTTCAAAATAAAGAGGTAAATTATAGAAATTATTCTCTATTGAAATTAGCATTATATTGGAGCACTGTATTATCTTCTAAACATTTGGGTAATGTCGCAACATATTTGTCATTTAACTATGATAGTTTAAATGGCAGTAAATTTTAAGATATATATCTCCAATCAAGTTTGAGTCTTTTAGGCACTTTGTGTGAGATGTAAGCAAGCAAAACACAGTTAATTTTTACATATTGTACCAACTTTAGTTTGATACTCGATGCTGTGAAGTTTCCTTACTTTTTTGCTACCAGAAATTTGATACGCTGTTTTTAAATATTCCTTTTAGTTTTTCCTTAATTTACTTAGATATTGATGCCAATTTTTAAAGCCCACTTCCTTTTCCTTTGCTTCAAATAAAAATTAAGGTATTTTTTTCTTTTTAATTTTAAGTTAAGTGTAGCAAAGCTCTAACAGTCTAGACAATTTATGGCAGATACCAGTAGTCTTAAAACAGTCTTTGTTGGCATTCAGGAAAGAAATCAGAACATTTGTTTAATAATTATAAGCACCACCTTGCTATCTTTGGTATCTGTCCAATTCTAAACATCCTTACTTAATTTCAATTCTTCATTCATTGCAATGATCTGTAAAACTTATTTGTCAGACAAAAATTCTCTCTATAGGCAATAATTATTTCTTCTTTGTTTATAGTTACCTTTCATTCATAATTTGCTATTGAAAGTTTAAAAATTTTAGTACTTATCCTGCACCAGCAAGTTCCGTCCACCATTGTATGTCAAAAACCCAACTATGAATGATTTTGTAACTCACAGTGCTTTAATACAATAAAACTTTGAAAAGAAAAAAATTTAAAAATGTTTTGGGGTGCAGAGGGAAGTGATCATCACATGCTTATGGAGCTATAGGATGAAGTGAAAAGTGAGACTATTCCCTTTGAAAATTAAAAACAAAATATTTAAAAAGAGAATTTTAATACTATAATCTCATTCATTTAAGATGAATACTCACTGATTCATTTGAACATAGAAAGACTTAACATTATCGCTTCTCATTTGGTCAATGTCACTATTTATTACTTCCTCCAGTTTCTGTTCTGACAATACTAATTTGACTGGAAGAATTCCAGTTATTTTAAAGTTTTTGGGTCTGCTAGTTGTTCAGGTCTCCCCTTGAGTATTAGATCCTTCTTAAATTCCTAAATCTATTAGTTGATCATAAATTATGGAAACATATATTACTTTCTCATTTAATATATAAATGACCCATTATTATATTTACATCTGTTGCCAGACCAGTTTCTTCCCTGAAGCATCATGCTTCACAGTGACCTACTTGTAGAATGTAGCACACAGTGATCCATTTGTATACTTTTCTGCCTCCTGCAAAAGTTCCTTAAAGATAATATCTATGGCTCAAATTATGTGTGTAACACAGTATGAAGCACATAGTGTACGGTGAGTCTATCTGGACACAGGCTCTCTTCCAGAAATTTACATAAATTTCCTTCAGTATTCTAATAGAGGAAAATATCTGGTCCCAGGTTATTATTTCTAGTATTTATGTAGAATATAAATTATTTCCTTCTTTTAATGAACATTAAAGGCGAGCATATTAAATGTCAGATACACTGTTGGCATTCTTTTTGAGGCCACTTTACTGTCTTTCCAAAATATGTGTCCCATCAAGCCAGGCTTGGTAGTGGAAAACTCAGTAACCTTTGTGTATATTGCAGAAGACAAATTTATAACGCCACCAGAATGCTTCTCTCAATATCCCAAATTGAGTGATTACAGTTCTCTGTAAAATACTCTGATGAGATCCATTCCATCTCCCTCTTTAGGGGTATTCATGTCTGTTGTGCTCATTTAATTGCTTCTCTTGTCTTATCTCAGATATTCTTCTTTGTGCCCAAACATCTTTTATTCAGATTTTTTGTACCCACATTACAGGCCACTATTACAATTCCATAAGAATCTTGAGGGTTTCTTGTATATCCAGTGATCGCTCTACTTCTCTAGGCACTTGCACTAAAAACAGAGGTAAAACGTCCTGCTTTTGGAAGCTATCCCCTATTTTACTTATCTTTTGATATTGGGCTAAGCATTATATATAGAGAGAGAGAGTGGAATTAATGTCCAATGCACACAAATAAGTAGAAATTTCATGCCAAATATCAGATCTTTTCTCAATCAGAGACTAAAAGAGTATCTGAATTTTACTCTGCTTTGCATTTTGTAAGAATTGGTCAGCCTATGCTAGTTTTTAAAAGACTTTTAGGATTGATATATGAATTTAACTTTATTTTTAATGCATGTATATCTAGTTTTTCCAACACCACTTGTTGGATAGTTTTTCTTTCACTTTATGTACCCAGCCTTTTTGTTGCAAAAAGTTTATTAGTTGACTATAGATCTGTAGTTTGTCTTTGGTACTTAACTTTAACCCAGTGGTTAAAGATTCTACCTTTATTCTACTGCCAAACTATTTTGATCATTATGGCATTGTAGTATAGTTTCAAGTTAGGTAATGAGATACCTCCCAATTTCATATTTCTCAGTAAGTATCTTGTCTATCTGTGGAGTTTTAAGAAAAATCTTATTTCTTAATAACCAAACTAGAGGTTAAAGGAAAGTACTTTTATGCCTGTGAGAAGGATATATCAGTATTTTTCCATTTATGATTCGGCTAAGATAGTTTATTGGTAGTGATTACCACGATATGGTGATACAAATCACCCATAAACTCAGTGACTTAAAATTAACATTTATTTTAATGCTCTTGGATTTTTAGATTGATAATAATCTCTTTGATGTAGTATGATCTTGACTGGGCAGCAATTTTAACCTATGACTACTGAGACAGACTCATATGTGAATGATGGGTAAAGGTATACTCCATGTATCTTCATTTTGGGACTAGGGGTAAAGGATATTGGGCATGTTCTTTTCACAATGGGTCACCAGAGCATGAATAAATCTTAACCTCCCAAGAGTACTTATGATCTGTATTCATATCAAGTCTACTCATGTTTGCCAAAGCGGGCCTGGCATCAAGAGATTAGGATCATAGTCTCTTCCTGCAGTGAAGAAGGAATGAATAATTGGTGCACAATAATCCAGACTCTATAGTTAATAACAAAGAATTTTTACAATTAGAAAATATCTTAGTGGTATTTTCCTGCTTAGTACTTTTCCAGGAAAGTCTGCATCACAGAGATGTTCAGTGACTTGCCTAAGAACATACTAAATAGGACATCTGCATATTTTCATTTCACAAATAGTTAGATCTAATAGTTTTGCATAATTTAGTTACAATAAGTTACAAATGCAGTAAAATATATTCATCTCTTGGCATTCGTAAAGCATAGGTTCTAAGACCATCATTAATCAACAAATTCATGAATGTCATAATAGCAAAAATCTCTAGTACTAAATGCCATCAAGTAAAATCCACATTACTTTTTAGGTGAGGGTAAGTAGAGAATTTAAATGCATATGTAATGATGACTGCTTGCTCATTCACTAAGATACCTATTTCTAGACATTATCTTTTTCAACCAAGAGAATTTAGATGTGTCTCAGTAAAGGTAAAGTATAATTGAAATATCACAAGTGAGTCCTTTCAGTGAAAATGCAAATATAGAACACAGTAAGAGTTAAGCGTATAATTCCCATGCATCCATTTGCATGCTCCCATTTATAGAATGCTCTCTATATATATATATGATAAGTAATTTAACTTTATGTAAATTAATAGCACTGCACTGTCCTGCACTGTCCTCCGGTCGTTTATCGATTTGCTTGACCGGGCACTAGTAACGTCTCACAACAAATTGCAAGATTTGTCGTTACTGTTTTGGGCATGTTGAATACGTCAGGGGTAATTTTCCAGGCTTTGCCGTGTGGGCAAGATACTTTCGGTAGCTTGACTCTCAGAGAGGAACAGAAGACTCGAACCCAGATCAGCCTCATGCAAGGCAAACACCCTACCTGCTGTGCTATAGTTCCAGCACATGTAAATTAATTGATTTTGCTCAAGCAGGCCCAGTAACATCTCCATTTTGAGACTTCTTGTTACTGTGTTTGGCATATCGAATACATCACAGGTAGCTTGCCAGGCCCTCCGAGAGGGGTGGAGGAATCGAACTCGGGTCGGCCATGTTGGCTGCGTGCAAGGCAATTGCCCTACCGCTGTGCTATGCAGTAGGGCATTTTATGTAAATTAATATTACTAATACATTCTATTTTTATCTAGTCATAGACAAATCTGACAAGAATCATAGAAAATAGAGAATTAACACAGGATTTATCTAGAAACTAAAGTATTTCCCTTTTATAATGAACACTTAAGAAAGGCCTACTACTATGGACTGAACATGTTTGCCACTCAATGCCTCTTTTGCAGACCACAACACCCAAAAGGAGAGAGAGAACACAGGGGATTGCCCTGCCACAGAGACAGGGGGGATGGGGGGATGGGGGTGGGAGGGATATTATCCATGGTGGTAGAAAATGGGCACTGGTGGAGGGATGGGTATCTGATCATTGTATAATTGAAACCAAAGCACAAAAAATTGTAAATATACAACTTTAAAAAAAATAAAATAAAATAAAGGGAAAAAAAAAGAAAGGCCTACTAAGTGCTGAATACACCATTGGTGTTGGTTATTTTTCTGAGGACCTCTTTACTATCAAACTATTATTGACTTTACAACATCATAAGGAAATCCCTTGCCAAGCCTAAGAAGATAGCCCAGTTCATATGAGCTAAAGTGAAAGCAGTTTCTCTAGGACAAATTGCTAGGCAGCCATAAGATGGCATTATTGTGTAAT